CAGAGCAGCTGGAACAGCAACAGACTAAATGTTGCCAGACTTTAGATAATCTATTAAGCTGAGAGGCCACTTTGGCTTCAAGTTTGAAAAATAGTAACTTTATCCTCAGGGGGCTGTAGGGGAAATTTTTATACATGATTGAGCTTAAATGTAAATCTAACTTCATGGTTCAAGCTGGTTAATTACAGTTTCAATTAAACACAACGAAAGGTGCAATGATTGCTTTAGCCAAAAGGAAATCAAGCAACCAACTTTCTCTTTTAACATTACAACACTCTCTGTGGAGGTTTGGGTTTGTTTTTCCAAAATCCTTTCTTTTAATTGCAACATTTATGACTTCCTAAGCATCATGTGCCTTCTAGATATATGTTCTCCACGGGTTGCTTCTATATTAATTCCAGTGTCGCTAGAGCTGCTGAGGATTGTTTTTAGCTGCTCTCTGATGACATCTTCATCCTTCGTAGTAGGAGAAGGAAAAGTGTCACTAACAGAAGATAGAATTTTTGAAGAGGTAGGATTTACAAACAGACCCAAGAGAGTAAAACAAAGAAAGGAAAAAGAAAAAAATATACCAGGGCAAGTTCAAAGTAATGAGGAGGGCTGAGAAGCATAAGAAAAACATTTGAAAGTATTTAACATTTTAATTATTATTATTATTATTATATGCAGGAGAAAATTAATTAGTCTTGGGAGAAGCTTTGTAATATTAGAGTATCAAATTTTGAATTCCTTTAAATCACATTTAATTTTAAAAATGCACATTTTCAGCAGTACTCCCATGGTAGGGTGTGGCTGGCATTTTCGTGGAAAAACAAATAAGCGTGAATGTTAGCACAGTGTAAGTTAAAGCACAATGTCATCACTGAAGCCTAGAACAGACAGCTTGTGAGGCCACACCTGGTACATCTTTCCTTATTCGTCCTGTAATAAAACCCTTTAATAAGTTTACATGGAATAGACTCTTCTTTTTTCTGTGCTGCTGTGGCAGACCTTTCACATCACCGGCCTTCAGTACAGGTGCAAAAAGCTTTCGAGGTCAGAAGTTAAGTGCACATCAGCCTCCCAATACAAGAACCAGCCAGTGCCAAGACTGTACACAGAGGGAGTTGGTATGATGTGGTTATCAAAAGGCAGAAAAAGTGGTAACTCAAAGAAGGGTTAGATGCTTTCCCCTGGTTTTATATACCCAGAGATCTAATTCTGCAAACCGTTATTATTACTGTCATTTCTGTGCAAACCAACTGCAGTAGAGATATGCGTGAGTAAAATTACATTAAAAATGATTCTTCAGTATCTCTAAGATTACATTGGGGCCACGTCATGAACCTACGAGGTTGGATTACCCATTTCCCTGGTAACTAGATGCTGTAAGGAAGGCGGTACGGGTGAGGGATAGTAGTGACCATCCTGTAATCAAGACACAGGAATGGAAGTCCCAAAGGAATAGATTTTGGGGCTGGCTATCCAACTAGACTTACTGTGTACCCTAACCCCACTGAATCACTTAATCACTTCAGTTAATCCAGTTTTAAAGTGAGCGCAAATGCTATCTACCCCATAAGTTTTACTAGCACTTGTTATTTGGTATTTTGGTACTTTGAGTATTTATAGTAAAAGAACTGTGAGCTCTCCTATTTAAGAGGTTGTACTCATGGTCACTTCAAGCACTCCCATTGCTAGAAAAAAACCCTTGACTTCAAGCAGTTGACTATTTAGTAAGATAGAAACTATTGCGACATCATAGGATTTGCTTGCTGCTATGTAAAGTATTTAGTGTTCAGAACAACTCTTTAATGCTCGATGTCGATAATTTAAGTTGTGCTCAGAAGTCCATTATGTAATTTCTACCTCAAAGTGTATTTTAAGAGTAATTTAAACACAGGAATATAAAATTAAATTAATTTCATTGTCATCTAGGTTAAAAGACATTCAGATGAAGTAATTTTGCTAAATAACATTGCTACTTACGTGAGAAACATCAGCCAAAAGACATCTGAAGTTTCAAAGACCTGGCCCATCAAGTTTCCATCTGAAGTTAAGCTTTAACCTCTAGCTTCTATCCGAAGCCACTCAGGACTGGTTTCTACCCAAATGACTTCCATGCACAGGCTTAGCGGCTGTGTTCCTGTTGCTTGGAACCCTGCGTGGAACGGGCTGACCAGCAGATGTCCCCAAATTCAAAATAATCAGAGTTAACGCTTCAGAAATCTCTACAGCCCTTTTGAACTTTCCAAAGCATGAAGCACCAGAGGCCACAAATACTCTCACTGCTTATTTGCATTCTTGTCAAAACTGAAGTTCTGAACTAGGGAATACTTGACAAGCTGCTGACACAAAGTACAATCACTATAGAAAAGTTGTCTGGATATCAGATCACTTTTTATGATACATGACCTATTGATTGACAGTCCCCTGTTGAAACTTCTATTTTCAACACTCTATTTTTTTTCCTTAGAAGAGCAATTCCCCCCCCGAAATATCACTTGTAACACTTTTTCTTGGAAGTTTAGATAGAAGAGGCAAGACTTTTTCCAAACTAGTATCAATTATTTTGACTTGGATATTACCAAACTCACAAACTGCATTTTTTTGACATACCAAATACTGCATTTACACTTCTCCACAAACTATTTTAAAGCTAAGGAGCTTGCAGCACGTTGTATATGCAAGAGGCTGGTTTGTGGTGAAGGAAAAAGGAAAGTCAGGTTAGTAAGTGGTAAGGTATAGGAGACAGACTATGAGCCGTATGTTCTAGTTGTGCCTTTCCTCCGTACAAACACCAAAAATTTAACTTCATCTAATTCTGCATAAAAACAAAAGGACTAGAACAGTATGTAGGAGCAAGATGACTTGGAAGACAGAGTGTGAATGATTGCAGATTTGTTTGGAACCCTTCTACCTGTTTCTGGAAGGATGAGGGGATTACCTAGCACGTCCTTATCTATACCTCCTACCTTGAATTCTGGAGATGTCAGAGATGTAAACCTCCTAGGTTGTAAGCCTACCGTACTTGTACTAACCTACAGATGTGAACCTACCAGGTTACACTGACGTTTCTGAGCAGAAGGGCTATTAGGGGCTGGGAAATGGGAAGGTCCTCGTTTCCCACGCAAGCTCCTGCAGAACACCTCTGGAGACTTGGCTTTCTTGCTCAAACATTCCTGTTCCTCTGAGATACTCTTTTTATTGTGGTCATACTTGCATTTTATGTCCATAGATAAAATGAATGCTTCAGTCCTCAACCCTGCACTCGGGAAACTTTGAAGTGAATGGAAAATGGGTAACTTCCACCCCCAGCCACACTGTGTGATGACCAGAATGCCAAATTCCTCATAGTGTTGCTTACATGATTTGCTTCTTAAAGGGGATGAAAACTAATTCTTCTAACTTCACAGTTAGAAAAATGAAGTGCTATTTAACACAACTGCAAAAAAAGGCATTAAAACACACACCCATGAAGTTAAAGACGACTGCACAAAATTAGGTGAACTGGCATTGAAAGTTTATCCACTTCAGAAATATATACATTTATATAAAAAAGGAAATTAACACAAAAATTTACATATTTGCAAATCTTGTATTACATAGGTAAAGACAGTGTTATGTTTTATATGTATTGGATTACGTAAGTATTTTTACAGTTTAAAAATCTTAAAGAATATATGGTTGCAAAAAAAATTAAATATCTGAATAGGGCCCCAAAGATAGCATACAGTAAGTATGACTGTCATGACATAATGAAGTCAATTATTCCCAGACAGAGAAAAAATTACTGTGTAAACAGCATGTGTAAATACTGCAAGAAACTAGAACTTGCTCTGATATATATACCTATATGCCAAAAATATTTTTTAAATGCTTTGTTGGCTGAGCCTTCTTTGCAGAGTGGATCATATCAGGGTAATGAACCACAGGGATACTCATTTAAAATAAAAGGGATTAGAAACTTAAAATATCCAATATTCAACAAAATCTGAAATTTAAGTACTGCATATTCCTTACTTAATGCACATAAAACCTATTACAGTGGGAACAGAGATCAAAAGACTGATATTGTGTATGTCTGTGTCTCTTGCACAAGACAGAAGCAGAGTTTCTTGCCTCGATTCCTATGTATGGTCCCAATATTACATCTCTTGATGAAGGAAAATCCCTCAGGGATTAAATTCTGTGTTTTCATAAAGAGATAATTCTTACTGTGTAATGGTTTTGTTTATGTTTTTGAAGTTGTGACCATCTAACTGTAACAAGATTAAAACTGACATGTATAAACTTTGAAAAGGTAACGGAAAAAATGAAGTTTATGGATACAGATTCAGACCAATAGAAACTAGATACCTTCTCCTGGTTCAGGAATGACAGGATTTTTTTTTTAAAAATTATTATTATAAGTCTTGTAAACATTATTAGAGATATGAGACCATTATAACAGTACTTTTGAATCAACAACGTTACTTAACAGGTCATTAAAATAAACTTCTCCTCTTTATTAAAAATTAGGAATAGGGTAATTTTGGCAAAAATATCAAGCCCTTGGTTTTAGGATACCTGTCCCCAAAATATTAGGGGACAAATATTACAAGCACCCTGCTAATGCCTATCACTGATAGTCTGATAGTGCTGATAGTATGTTAAAAACAGATTTTATTTTGCATGCAACTACAAACTGAGTAACAATTTTAATAATGGAAGAATTCTTGTTGAACTACAAAAAGACTAGGGCAATGTTTTGCGCTAGAACAGGACAGAATGCAATGGGCTGACAACCTGATCCTAAGAGACTGACCACAAAGATTTATGGAGTGATAATCGCATCACACTCATGGTTTCAGGGGTTTTTTTTGTATTTTGTTTTAAAGAACCTTTGATGATGGCAATGTGAGAGTAAACTGCTCTCTAGTCAGAATTTGGAGTATTCAAAAGACTCCCTCCTTTCCCCCTTAATCTTAAGTAGTCCTTTCTCTTTTCTCATACCCATTAAAAACACTAGTGGCACCTACCCTTCCAGTTCAGAACTAAGTAATGGGGCTCACATGAAAGCCAAGTCAGTATTATTCCACGCTGATCTGAAGTGCACGTCATTAAGTAATATGTGGGATGCCACAACCATATCAGTTGGATAGTACCCTGATATTGACTACTGCAGACATTGTAATCAGAAGTTACATTTATGTATAAGGTGGCTTAAAAAACCAGCCACATTTCCTGATCATCTTTACCGACAGTAAACCAAATTATTTCCACAGAAGTTTTCATTATTTACACATCAACTATACAAGTAATACAAAAAACTCTTAGTTGAGCACCAGTGCTGACTTAAGGACTAATACCTTCAAGTCAGAGTATTAGTATTCCCTGTCACAAGTGAATTCCGATATACTTTCAGAAGTTTCCCTTTTCTGTATTGGTTGTATTCAGACCACTTCTTTGTTCCTGTCCATCTTCCACATTCCAAGGAGATTAGTAATAGCAGCAGTTTTATAAAAGGTGTAGGTATCATGGACAGCTTTCACAGCATAATCAGTTCAGATCTTTTTAAAAGAAAAGACCATAAAATCCACTGATCTGGATTGTAAGGTTTTACCAAGAGTTCATTAAATGGAGTCTATATACAATTCATGTGACAATAAATGGTTGAAACAAACTCAGTTTCTGTGTGCAAACAATGGGATGTCCAACAGTGGCAGGAGTCCACATTTAATTCAAGGGCAGTAGGGAACACATTTGTCCTAAGCATCAGTGAATTATGCCAGTCATGTCACCTTGGTTTAGAGTAACCATAAGGACACAGAAGAATCAGGCTGTCATGACTAGGTAAGACATGAGTGCTATAGTATTCGACCAAACTTCCCATGTTCAAAAACATGATGTCTGAATCCAGGTAAAACTTGCAATCCTGTTGTAGAACAAAAACATATGTAATCATTGACAGTAATTTTTCCAACTCAATGTTTAAAAAAAACTCCAAATCATCATCATCAGAACTAAGAAGTTCTTTCAAACAAGCCACTGCTTTGCAAACTAGTCACTTACACAAATAATTCCAAATTAAACTCAGGAATTTAATATTTCTTCCTTTACGATTTGACTGGAGCTGAAATTTAGATGTGAACATTTACAGCTAGTTTGTCTTTTGCACGATACAGCAACTAGAAAGCCCAGATCCAAGTACTCAAACTCATCCTAGACCAGATATTTGTAAATCAGCTTATTTTTACTTTTAGGAATGGGAAGAAGTTCAGACTTCAACTTGTTAGTTACAGTATATACCTATACACATGCACACTCTACATACATATATATATACATGAAATTCATACATGTATACATGCACATATATACACATGCACACATAGTGCAGCTACTAACCTTTTCAAAGATTCTGTAGTTTCTCACTTTTTCTGCAGATTCATCCCATACAACCAGTACCTTGAAGAAGAAAAATGAAACATATTCAGTCTATGCTAATAAGCTCTTCTAAGTCAATATATTATTAAGGAATTAGTTACAATCCAGCCTAAAAAAAAAAAAAATCATCACTGAAGTTATGATTGTGATTGTCTCAGATTTTCTTGCTTTAAGGAAAAAGCACATCTAAATTGTTAAGTACTTTATCATATGTAAGATACAGTATCTCTAAATCAAAAAGGTTTTTGAGGGGTCGATTCAGCAACTGCAAGTTACCTTTCCAGGCTTAGTAGATGAGTTCCTAATACAGTACAATCCATTTTGCGGTTGTCCCCGTGGGCTACTAGCTTTAAATGTCCTAAAAATAATACAGCAATTACACATATTAGCATTTTCTGTATCAGATAAGTAAAATGCCTAGATTCTTAAAATTCTTATTACAAATCTCTGTTTCAGTTGTAATAATTCATAATACATCATAGCTGAAAGAATTTTACTGTTCTAGCATCTGAACCAGCAACGCAGCACAGAAGATCTGGCTTTCTGTCCCATCTAGCATCCTGGTAGAACAACCTTCTCCAGATGCAGCAAAATCACTTTGCAAGCAGTATGCATTTTCAATTGATACATGAGCACTGAACTAACTCCTGTAAAAGGCTATTTCTGTATTGAAGGAATTTAAACACTTTTATTGTGTTTTTAAACACAAATTGTACCTATCAAAATGATCTTTGGACTACTGTTCAGTGCAGGTTTTTGTAGGACTTCTCAGGAACTATTTTAAAGTCACATTCTACCTTTCAACTTCGAAGGATTCAGAGGTATTAAGAAATACTGAAGCAGGCAGCCCAACCTGTAAAAGTATGAAGAAAATAAATTACCGTGTAAGTCAATGACAACTCAAATCCTAGCAACTTGTTACGCAAATAAGCTACAGCCGTCAGTATCTGAAATGATTAACAGTGATTTAATTTTTACTTTACGCTTCTTCCTCCTTTACATCCAATATTAAAATCCAGAATTTATCAAGGCATTCCTTGAAACTCAAATTAAAAAAAAAAAAAAAAAAAATCACACAGTTTTCAGAAAGTTTTTTTTCTCCTGAAATGTGCATTTAAAACGTTCCCAGAAGTATACATAAGCAAGAAAAACACTCTTTTGAGAATGAATCATCTGCTTGATCTTACTTTTTCATAGTCATCATCAGAATCATCATCAGGTTGGTTTGGCTTGGAGGGTAGTGCTGGTTTTTCAAACGAGAAGCTTCTAAAACTCTGCCCATCTGGTGGTGATCTCCTGGCAGAAACAGAACAAAAACTGAAGGACATCTTCTCAGGAAAACAGAACAAATATACACAAAACATTGACGGGATAAAACTAGAACTGCAGAGTAAGTTTCAGTTTAGCCCCCAAATCACAGATTAATTTAGTTGGAAGGGACCTCTACAGATGATTTAGTCCAAGCTCCTGCACACAGCAGGTCCAACTAGATCAGGTAGCTCAGGAAGCCATGCCCAGTCAAGTTTTGAGTATCTCCAAGGATGGAGATTCCACAGCCTCTCCACAGCAACCTGTTCTGGTGTTTCACCATCCACACGGCGAAAAGTTTTTCCTAATATCTACCCGTAATTCCCCAGGTTGTGACTTCTGCCTGTTGCCTCTTATCCTATCACTGCAGATCTCTCAGGTCTTGCCCTGTCTTCTCCATGCCCACCCATTAAGTAGTTGTAGACAGCAGTGATCTCCCATTAACCTTCCTAAAGGTTAAATGAATCCAGTTCTCTCAGCCTCTTCTCACATATCATGTGCTACAGCCCCAACATCTTGGTGGCCTTCCACTGGACTCACTCCAGTACATCAGTGTCTTCCTTGCACTGTCTTTAAACAGTTTATTACTTGTTCTTCAGAGCTGCTAAATGATCTGATGGACAAAAATATTTTCATCTGACTCACTACCATAACTAGTTCCACATCCCTTACTAGAGCTGGTCTTAATATAAAATGAAACACATTTCCTATTTCCACAGAGTCCCAAAATTGTTTTTGCAGTTCATTGAGGTTCTGACATAAAGGCTTCTTATTCACTGTGATCAATGGCTTTTAAGTGTTTAAGATAGACCTGAAAACAAATGAACTACAAAATTTTGGTGTAATTTTTTTTTTTAAGTTTAGTTTGTCTACTAGTTCTTTCTGAACTATTTCAGAAGCTAAACTCATTGCAAAATAACAGAGAGGCAAAAAAGCACAACACTGTGAGAAAGAGAGGGATGGTGCAGGGAAAAAAAACAAATGTTGATGTGAATCTGAGAAACATGCTTGTCAACAAGTTAATTAATACACAATGGAAAAATTTAATAGTGCATTGTATTTTCATACTTACTGTAACTGGGGACATGAAGACTTCTCTGGTCTAGGCTTGATTCCAGGGGGCTGGTGGCTTGGCACAGGTGGCTTTGGGAGCACCGGTGGCACAAACAGTCCAGGTTTACCATGTTCTCTTGGCACTTTGGGCTCTACTGGTTTTTCAGTAAACTGTGACAGCTTGGGTTTACTGCTTGGTAGTGGAGGAGGAGTTCGCGGTGAAAGATTTAAGGTTTTTAGCTTCTCACATCCTTCTGGAGTAGCAAGAACTTGAGCTAGAGGCAGAGGCTCTGGAGGCAATGAGCACGATTCTTTGGCACACACAGGCTTTTTGAAAAGAGGTAGAGGGGGTACAGGGGGCAGCTGTTCACTTAGTCTCCGGCTTGAGGACTGAATCTTTAGATTAGCTTCAGCTCGGCACTGTAACTGGGGTTCTCTCATGTTTAAGAGATCCTCTAGTTTGATATCAGGTAAGCTTCTTTTAGGAGGCGGTGGTGGTACTGGCACAGTAGATTTGCCAGCAAAGGAATTTGCCCTCGATTCCGAGTAGGCAGCTTTTCTGACATGAGGAACTGGTGGAGGTGGGTAGGCTGGGGGCAGAACCATATCTACAGAAAGAAAACATCCAAAAAACATGACACACTGAGGGAAAATACAGTATGTCAGGAAACGAGACTTTTCAAATTTATTTTCTACGTGATTGAAGATATTTCATTGGCATCTGGTCTGATAGTACCCAAAATGCTGGATAAGCATTTAACTTTCAGCACAATTCTGAATGTTATGTGTAGTAAACTCCTGCAATTTTTATTCAGGCATGGCTTATGACGACTTTGCAAAGAGTTCTCCCTTTGCTAAAAATAAAGAAATTGAGACTACGTTAAATGCATTACCCCTCCTCCAGACTGATGACCAGATACAGGTCCTTCCAGGGCAGGAGGCCTGCAAGAAAACATGCCCTTAAAGGCATGTAACACTTTCTGTAAATTGTTACTGCTGTTATGAGGAACTTTTGACCCTAAATACCTCTCAAGATTAGGTACCAGTGCATTACTTCAATTATTTTACCACCTGCAATGCTTAAGATATGACCAAGCCAAAATAATAATCTGGCATTCTACATGAGTATTGCCTTCATTGGTGGCCTTCCATGGGGCCTCTTGTGAAGGGAATGAAAGAAATCACATACCATCTTTCACTATGTCAGAAGTATCTGGCTGCAAATAAGACTCATCCTCTTCCTCCTGGTCATAATCTGCAGATAAAAATCAGTATGTCAGACTGATAAGTACTCCTGGAACCAAGAAAGAGTATTGAGTACTTATTCCATTTTAATAAACAAATATTTTTCAGTTAAATTTTTTTAAAAAGAGGTGAAAAAAAAATTAAAAATTTTGGTCCACCTCTCTGCTATTTAGAATAGGTGTTTCCTTAATTTTTGATGTCAATTAAGAAAGTCATTGCTTACAACAGTGGGAGATGAACTACACAGCCCATTAAATTTCTTCCATCTTTCAAGTTAAAATTTACTTTATGGTGACACTTTCTAGTGCTATAGCCTTCCTGAGCAAAATTCAAATCAGTTGCAGAGACACAACTACGTGGATGCACTGGCAAAACCAGTTGGAAAAAAAAAAAATCCCCAAAACCTAGCCCTAAGACAGAAACATTGATGATTTTGCAATACAGAAGCCTAAGCAAACCTAGTGATCTACAAAACAATTAATACTTTTGCCTTGCTCTGGCAACAAAAAAAACGACCACAACGAATGGCTTAAATGGTTTCAATGTTGCCTTTAACTGTAAGTCAGAATAATCAAGACATGAAAAACATGCTACTTCTAGGCAGTAACTTCTCATCTTTGGCTATGATAGGAGCCTCAAGGACAATATGCAGTATTTCCCCAGAGAAATGCATTAAAAAAAAAAGGTAAGAGTATCTGATAAAAGTCAGTTAGCTCTTCTAATTTTCCTAATTTAAACTTCTGCTAGGCCTCTTAACATAATTCGTATTGCATCCAACCCTTCCCTCACATCAACACAGAAGTACTAAACTACAATACTACATGAAATGCTGATGAGTGTTTTCCTCTGCGTTGCAGCAATTGAACCGGATTTCCTACAGATACTCACTCCTGCCTTTTTGTCCTAGTCAGGATAAATAGTCAGAAATTTCCTTTCAGGAAATGAGAGTACTTGCTCCAATCAACCCTGCCCTTAGAAATCTGAAAGGGCAGATGGGAAAATGCCTAGTAAAGGAACTATGTTGAACCTTGAGGCAAGGCTTCTCATGTTGCATTTCACTAACACATTTCTTGACTAGGAAGTCAGTTGCTGAAATCTGCTGTGAATGCCTATTTGACAGGCTTTCTGTAATGTCCTCGCTTCTAATTAAAAAATAAACACTCTCAGCCAGAACTGTTTACTGTGCAACAACTACAGCAAGGAACAGGTATCAAACTTCGAATAGAAAAGGCTATGCTAAGAGTGAGATTTTCAGAGCCTTACTTTAAAAAGTTACTCAGTTTGAAAGTCATTGAAGAATGTAATCCTATGTGTTTCACACAGGCCCATCCTATGCCTAACGTAAGATCTTCCTGAACTGGAGGGATGATCTATTCTGTTTCATGCTAAACAGACTACAATACAGATGCAACAACATCCCAGTGTGGGTGACTGCTTGTTTTGCAGGACAGGTAGATTAATTTTACAGTCTAGATAGGAGGTAACTACCTCCCCAATGTTTTACTGCATTGCCTCTGCATGTTTTCAGAACATACTTTTAAGTGACTAATATCCTATTATTATAATATTCAATTATTGTCAATAATATTCAATTATCGTAATAAAGACCACTTTGTATTTCCACACTATGACCTATGGACGTACTCAAAAGTTTTATCTTTTTGCTAGATCTACAAACTCTCTAACATGCAGTCTTAATAAAAATTTTAAATAGTGTTATTAGGGTGTCAGACATCTCCTTGAAAGATCTGAATTTCTTTAGTTACCATTTATTTTTACTAATGGTTTATGGCACAGAATATCTGCTTCCGATTTAAAATTACAACAACTACACACATTGTAAAAACAAGAATTTATAGTTGCAAATTGAATCAGTTTGCTTAAGCTATGGGAATAGTTCCTGCAGAATCCAGAAGAAATAAATAAGCAAATAAATAAATCTTATTTATCAGTGTCTAAATTTGGCACCTTCATTATCTGCTGAATGATGAGAATACTTGATATCAATGGGACGTTCTACTGAGCCATAGAAACTGTCTGCATCAGAACCAGAGTCACTGCAAAAGAAAAGACAGAGTACCTTCTGCATCACTGTGCTATGGGTCTTGGGACAGTAAACATGTCTGTTAGCAGGACTGCAGCATTGGAAAGGAATGCTGGAAAAACAGAAGTAATCTATTCCCATTTTCCAATTAACAGCCAGATATGTTGCTGCTGTCATTTTAAATTTTTTATTTGTTTTACACAAAGCTGACATTTAAAGTTCTCTTAGTAAAAAGATTTATTTTTGTCTTGGTATTCTTTAAATTACATGTTAGGAAGGCCTTTCATTCTTGGGCCTTACTGCACCTGTTTTTATTTAACAGTAAATTACTTGTAGGTGCAAAGAGCCTAAAACACCATTGTCAAGAGCTAGTGCAAAAGGGATAAAAAGCAAATAAAGATTAAGGGTTGATACCTGAATTCTGTTATTGTTTCTCTCTTCTCATGGTAGTGATCAATTTCCCTCCTCAGGGATAGCATCCAATTCTAAATAAGAATAAAAATACAACATTCAACGCATCCATCTTTAAATCATTAAACAAAGATGCACAGTATCTGTCCTCTGTAAGGACAGAGAAACTGTGCAAGGAACCTACATGGAAATAGTTTTTATCCATGACTTTATGCATTGAGAGGACTTATCAGTCAAAATGTTTTGACTATCTAAAATGCTATAAGAACATATTAAAATATTAAACTTTCAGTTTTCGAATTTCAAGCTGTTATTTCTAAAGCCAGGTACTTGTTCATAGTATGTTTATGGGTGAGATATTTCACTGAACAGTTTTCATACTTCATCAAAGGTTTAACATACAAATATTTGTTCCTTGGCTAAAAATAAAATGAGCGATATGGAGAAAACCATGACATCTAGTATGTCACTTATAGCCATTCCCTGAATTACAACTTGAACTAACACTAACTTAATAGTTAAAACTTCAGACGTGATTTTCAGAGGAGCTCAAAGAACTAGTATACAAATTTCAGCGACAGCTGCACATCCAGTTCATTTAGATTTTAGGGAAGTTCAAGATTCACTTTCTGCTTCAAGGAAAATTATATTGCAAAAGAAGAATAAAGTTACCTTTCTTTCATCTTCAGAAGAAGCTGAAAAAAACCACGTCCTGTGCTTCTTGCTAATGTGAACTAACTTGAAAGGAAACACATTGCTTGATGTTGTCTCCTCAGCTGCCCGCATAACCCTGAGAAACAGAACAACCAATACATGAAAACCTTCATCTATGAAGTTAATTCTGCTCTGCAATTCATAAAGCTCTGATAGAAAGCAGTTTTACTGGCCAGTTTTGCCTTACCAAAAATAACCCCCAAGCCCAGAAAACGCCACCAAAATCCCCATATGTGCATTTGTTGTACTTCTCCATTAAAGTGGCAGAAAGGACAATGCAGGAGCACTGACAGGAGAAAAAGCACTAGTCAAACCACCAGCCAGACTTATAAATGGATGTTTTCACCTATTCAATAGTTTTAATGAATTGCATTAATTCACAAGCTTCACACCATGGCAAGAAGTATTTAAGGTGCCTGTGATCCTTGTTTCAGAAAGGCATAGAGAAGAAATCAAAACACAGGTTGTCCATGAAAATAAATGAGAACTAATATTAAAAGCTAACTTGATTTTTCCACTTTTCCTTTATAAACACTTTCTTGCAATTTATTATTTTAAAACAGGCATAACTCAACGTCTTTCAGAAACTGCATTAGATATGTTTGTTTCTTTTTATTTTTCCCTCCCCAGAGGAGTCTCAAATGAGGAAATTCCTCACACACACAAAAATTTGGTTGTAAATGCTCGCTATAAGGCTTTGGAACAAATAAGGAGACTAAAATCCTAAGACTGTGGGTAATTGAAAAGTAACATTTCTAAGATTTATTCAGCATAAGCCATAGAGAAATCTGATTAAAGTTTTTACAATAATTATTGGGGCCTTCTTGCTTGTTCCTAAACTTTTAAATTCACCAACTTCCTCATGTAATACAGTATTTCCGTAAATCCTTAATATTTAGGGAAGGTGGTTTGTAAACGTAGGAAAAAAGATTATCAGAGACATTTGACATTTGGTTAGGTACATAATCAAGATAACATTGTTTTGGCCTTTCAATACTTAAAGGGGGCTTATAAGAAAGATGGGGACAGGCTTTTTAGTAGGGCCTGTTGTGATAGGACAAGGGGGCATGGTTTTAAACTAAAAGAGGGTAGATTCAGACTAGATATAAGGAAGAAATTTTTTACGATGAGGGTGGTGAAACACTGGAACAGGTTGCCCAGAGAGGTGGTAGATGCCCCATCCCTGGGAACATTCAAGGTCAGGTTGGACGGGGCTCTGAGCAACCTGATCTAGTTGAAGATGTCCCTGCCCACAGCAGGGGGTTTGGACTAGATGACCTTTAAAGGTCCCTTCCAACCCAAACTATTCTATGAAAAAAATATATCTAATCAACACCCTGAAGCTGCCATTAAGAACAATGTCAACTGCAGAATTATTTCAGAATTAGAGACTTCATCTTTTTTAGAACCCCAATCCTACTTTTAAGCTGGAGGTTGTAGTTTTCTGCATCTGCCCAGTCCAAACCAAAGCCACAAACGGAACTATAAGTTATTTCACTAATGTAAGGCTAATAAGGATGTTAATGTGGGAAATAACCACGGTACAGCTGGGAGGGATATAGCAATAGGCAACGCTATACATTTTGAGTCACTAGTGAACGCAGCACTTTCTCATCTCCTGCCCACTCTTTAACACATAAAGGCTATTGAATGAAAACTGCAAAATAGAAGTCCAGGGAAGCCTTAGAGTGACTTGTTTTCACACAACCTTATGCAACTACCAATTATAACAAATTCTTTCATTTCAAATTCTTTTTCAACATTTCAAATTCTTTTTCAACATTGCTTATGTCTGTGCATAATACTAACCAAGACCTGGTCCCAATTCTAACCAAGGTCTCTACAAGGCTGCTAGAATGCAGATATATAAAAAGCAATGAGACAGTCCCTAGCATTTACAAATTCCATGGTATTTTTTACGTTAATGTGATTACAGAAACTAGTGTAATGGCCAAGTTACAGTATAGGTTGCTTATACAAATTAATCTTGAATCTTTAATTAGCTACAGCGTTTACAAGTGCATTCCTATAAAATACGCCATTGCTGTGGTCAGTTAGAAAGCTCTCACATTCTACAGATTCTTCCTTATTCCAAAAGTCTGAGAACATTATGCAGTACAAGAATAACACACGTGTTTACAAATACAATAAAATTGCAGTAGTTAGGACCAATAATGTGATACTTCTCTACATTCTCTCTTTCATTAGTCCTTTCTTAGCATCAATTACAACAGCAATTTCCTAAAGTTAGGTTGGACTTCTATTAGTAGGCCTTGTACGTATGCTGCACTCAGTCAGATTCTGATAGTACTGGTTAACTTGAAAGCCATTATTTTTGTCTTTGACTTAAAAAGCAAATATTAAGATTTATAACATGTAGCGAAATGAGTCAGACATTTTGCACATGCATTGTCTCATTTGTCACTCCTATAGTTGATTCAATTTTGACACTAATTAGTGTTACTGAATCAGTAACTCCATAAATATTACTTTCTGATTCCTTTCTATTTTTGTGATGATCATTGAAATCACTAGAAAACAAAGATAGTTTGTCTGAAAGAATCCACATGTATCTGCATGTGCAAAGTCTGCATTAAGTCAGTAACAAGAGTAAACCCGTTGCAATTTTAACAGCTTTACTGGTTAAATTACAAAAGATGAAGGCTATATACTTGCAAAGCACAGGAAACACCATATATACAATTTGAAAGGAATACATCTCTAGGAATCTGAGATCAGTGCTTAACCCAAACAACAGATGTAGTTGAGTTTAACTTAGTTGGAAATGAAAACCATAGCCCCCTGCATTAAGTAAAAGGAGCTTGGGTGTTAAATTAGTTCTTTGGCACTCACCTGTTGTAACCATTCAAAGAAAATGCACCCTGTGGAGATGCAGATGTGCTGCTCTTAAAATAGTAAATACATCCCTCATGGATAATCACAAATCTCAATGGCCCTGAAAAGATAAAGAAAAAAAGTGAGCAAAATATAAATCCAAAGGCAGTACCTCTTAACTGGGATAGAATTGTTTAAGATTTTAGTAATCTTATTAATCTTTATAAAAGAGCACAAACTAGTTTAGTGACAGCTTGTTGATGACCAGCCACATGGTAAAGCTGTCCATTCACAGAGCTTCAGGACTAAAGGTAGTATTTGCTTCCCTCATTTGAGAGGCAGCTGATCTGGTAACTTCAAAAGAAGCCTAAGAGACCACAGGTCTGACCTCCATCTGTGCTCCTTTATTAGAGGAAAAAGCTAATGTAAGAATGCAACCTAAAACAAAATGGAAGAAAGGCAGCCACAGGCTACAAATACATATTTATGTGTACCCCAAAACCATGACGGTGTCTCCCTCTCTTCTTTCACCTCAAGTGCATAAAGCTGTCAATAAAATGTTGTTTTATTTTCTTTTTTTAAAGGGGCCAACATTCCTTCCTTTATCAAAGGCAGTAATCTTTGTCCTTATCTATATAAGTACTGTTTAGCTGTAAACAGGGATAGCAAATGAATAGCACATAAATAAACCCAAAATCTTAAGTTTTCTCCATGTAAATAGATTCTGATTCTAGAAGCAATTACTGTTTTTAAGTACAGCCTAATGTTGGCAGTGAGAAAATTTCCATTGCACAACAGCAGTAGGAGATGGGGATATTTTTCCAGTACAGAATAATCAACTGGAAAAAAAGCTGAGTACTAATTTCTTTTAGAAAAGAACATTTGAAATTGGTACATATCCCGGGAATCTGTTTCTGTCTTTAAAATCTTACTTGTGAAGCACTAACATGAGATTTAACCAAGTAAAAGAAAATCAACCACAACATTTATCATCTAAGATTTACAGTTCCAAAACAATTAAAGGAAATTCTTTCAATATGGGTCTTTCATATGTATATTCCAGTAAAATTGTAATCCATTACAGACAAAGTAAGTGGAAGAACAGCTTCATTAAATAATCTGCTAACATGAAATATGTTAATGGCCCCAAAGGCAAACATTTAATTTAGTTAATACCTCATTCAACTTACACTTCAAGATCTGCAGCTGGGTGCCTCCTTTTTTATGAAGATACCCTGATTTGGTCACTCCTCCAGGCATTGTCAAAAGGTTTTGTGCTCCAATTGCCTTCATTGGGACTGGCCAGACCTGCTCCTGCGAGGCCATCGTTCTGCAATGTAGAATAATTAAAAACAGTTTAGAACTTAGATTTTATTTTAAGAAATGAATACCAAGAAACAAAGCTTGTTTCCTTAAACAAGTTTTCCA